TTATTTATTTTTAATTTATTTAAAAATCGAGCTAAGAAATTAAAGTATTGATCGGTGACTAAGAGCTTTTTTGACAGCACCATACTCGACCACTCTCCACAAGCTTCGCGCACTTTCTTCCCTTCACCTTTTGTGGCTAAAACTACCGCTGCAACTCTCCCAATCCCGGCATTTCACAGGGCTTCCTCGCCGGAAAGAGACCAATAAGTCGCCGTCCTCGCTTCAACCGATGGCGTACGCGCTCCATTCTCACTATCTCTGTCTACCCCCACCTCTGCCGAGGAGCCTCCGTCGAATTACCTTTTCTTCTGCCATCCCAATGTCGGCTAAGTCGATGAAAACCCTAAATCCACTGAACTCGGCGGAAACCCTAGGGAAATCCGGTTTCTTTGTAGTGAAAAGGGCGGGGAGGTTCTCTACTGGCCGCAATAGGCAGCAAGGTGTGCGATGCGATGCCACTTCGAAAGATGGGAGGGTGATTATAGATTCTCCTCTTCAATTTTCAGTATAATTTATTGAATTTTCAGAAATATGAAATAAAGATTAGAGTTTTTTTGTGTTTTTTTTAATTTTATTATTTCAGATTACTCAGCAAGAGTTTACGGAGATGGCCTGGCAGGGGATTGTTTCATCGCCGGAGGTTGCGAAAGAGAGTAAGCATCAAATTGTGGAGACAGAGCATTTGATGAAAGCGTTGTTGGAGCAGAAGAATGGTTTAGCTCGCCGGATTTTCTCCAAGGCTGGTGTTGATAACACTCGCCTTCTTGAAGCTACGGATAGTTACATTCAGAGGCAACCAAAGGTGAATTTCTAACTAATCATTTTTTTTGCTGATAGTTCTTTATTCGCATGCTGCTGTTTTGATTGTGGGAATTGATGATAGGTGGAAAATTCTTCTCCTTGGTAGTCAAGCATTTTTATACTAGTATTGTACTTTCTGCATCAAGCACTTTCGGCTAATTTTACTATTTCCTGGCTGATGCCACATATTTATTCTAGAAAAGCTTGCATAATAACTATTCCAGGTTCTTGGTGAGTCTGCTGGTTCTATGCTAGGAAGAGACTTAGAATCTTTAATTCAAAGAGCTAGGGAGTTCAAGAAAGAATATGGAGACTCCTTTGTGTCTGTTGAGCATTTAGTGCTTGGCTTTGTAGAAGACAAAAGATTTGGGAAACAACTCTTTAAGGACTTCAGAGTTTCTCTCCAAATGCTGAAATCTGCCATTCAATCTATAAGAGGACGTCAAACTGTTATTGACCAAGGTACGTGGAAGTTTTGATTTTCTTTCCTTGCTTGATCTCATGTGGCCTGTATTAGAAAGAAAAGCCAATAAAAAAGACTAATTATGAAGGACACCCCTTGGGTCTTCAATATTTGCATGGTATGTAGGAAGAAGTACTTGACTGTAATATTTGTTGAATGAGCAACTTATTTTATATATTACTTCATGTCTAGTTTAATTATTTATACGTTTGAAATAACCATAATTCAACAAAAGCCTTGAATTGAATGTTCTGAGTGTTACTACATGATTAGTCTGTGTTGAGTAAATCATGTTTGTCATTATTTTGATCCGTTGCCTCAAGTATGGGATTACTCAATTTCCCCGAGCCTTTTCTCTCATCTTATCCACGAGAAGGATATCATCAACAAAAAAACATACACGACGGTACATCCTCTTGTAAGTGTTCAGTAAGACCATCCATAACTAAAGCAAAAAAAATATGAGCTTAAAGTTAACCCTAAATGTAAACCAACAGTAAGAAGAAAATATTTGGTCAATCCTCCTTCTGTTCGAACACAACAACTTTTGTATACATATCTTTAATGACTTGAATATAAGTCATATCAATACCTTTCTTCTCAAGAACTCTCCCAAGAACTCTCCAAATGATTCTCCAAATGATTTCTCTTGGAACCTTAACGTAAGCTTTTTCTAAATCAATTAAAATCATATGTAGATACTCCTTATTATCTCTGAAATTCTTCATTGACCCTTTCAATAATTGTATAGCTTCCATAGTAGACCTGCTTGGCATGAATCTAAATTGATTATGAGAAATTTTTGTAATACGTCTTAACCTATGTTCAATTACCCTCTCTTATAATTTTAAAGTATGACACATCAACTTAGTTCCTCTATAATTTGCACACTCTTGTGCATCCCCTTTATTCTTATAAATGGAGACCAAATTACTCTTCCTCCACTCTTCAGACATCTTTTTAGCTTTTAAAATAATATTAAAGAGTTTAGTAAGCCAAGAAACTATCAAATCTCCTAAATATTTCGACACATCAATTGGGATATCATCAAGTCCTACAGACTTTCCACCCTTGGTTTTTTTTAAAGCCTCCTTAACGTCCTTTTTACTAATGTGACGGTAAAAATGAAATATTTTTTTATTATTAACTATTTTAAGATCACTAAGGCCGATCGTATTTTCCGGAACTTCATTAAAAATTTTATCAAAATAACTCAATCCCCTATTTTGAATATCTTTTTCTAAGAAATGTACTTTTTGATTTTCACTTTTAATACACTATACTTGAGTTAAATATTTACTTTTATTTTCTCTTTGTTTGACTAGTTTATACATATATTTTTCACCATTCTTACTATCTAATCTATTATAAAGAACACTAAAAATAGATTTTTTAGCGTCATAGATTGTTCTCTTAGATTTCTTATGGACTGTTTGATAATTTTTTTCAGTTTTCTAAGCTTTTATATTTAAATCAATTTTTATAACATAATTTCTTATATTTTATCTTTTCTTGTATGTTATTATTCCACCGTCAACTATTTTTATTTATAAATTTTTTTTTATTCTCCAAGTACAACTTTTGTCACTTGTTTAATAGTGTTTGTTACTTTATCCCGCATAGAATTTACATCTTCATAAACATCCCAAATTTTGAACTCTTGAATTTTACTCATAAAAATAATTTTATTTGTGTCTTTTTGGTACCCACATCTAATTCTACTATGATGATTCCTAGTATTCTTTATTTTACAACTCTTGTTCTTAAAATTTAGAACTAATAATCGATGTTGAGTACTTAAATTCTCATTTGGAATGACCTTACAATCTTTACATTCTCCACAATCTCTTCTCATAAGAAAATAATTAATTTGTGTTTTATTAGTTGTTTTATTAGTCTCATAAGAAAATAATTAATTTGTGTTTTATTAGTTCCATTCTTATAAGTAATAATATGTTCATCTCTTTTCTTGAATAAAGTATTAGCAATAACAAAATCATATGCTAAAGCAAAATCTAATATAGCTCTACCTTCTTCATTAATCACTCCAAAATCTTAGCCACCATGAATATTTCTAATGCACTCAAAATTATGAAAGGAAACAGTTGTGTTGTGCAAGTTGGAAATTGAGAGAATAATGACTGATAGAGGTAATAAAATCAACATGTCTGTTTAAGGAGAGCTGATATGAGGATATTTGGATGGGTGAAGACTTCAAGATCTATATTAATTGGCCTCCATACATTTCTCGAAGATTTTTTTTTTATTCTTTTTTTATTTTTTCCTATCCATAAGAGGATCCAATTCCCTTGTTAACATAAATTACATGGAATTGGTAAGCATATTTGAAGATGGCCTCCTACACAGGGAAAACTTGCTAGTGTGATTTTTTGAGGAAACAAATCATATAAAGTTATAGTTATTCAATGGGCATTAGTGTAAATTCTTATTTTTGATGGGATATGTATTGGCGGGTCTTATCTCAGATTTTTGGATGTATAGTTGCCTCAATTTATCACCTTATGAACTTGTGTTTCTAATGCTTGGGTTTTTTTCTTGCATTTGTTAATGACATCCACCTTTGCTTGCATGCTATCTGTCTTTTTTATGAGTCTTTGACTATCCCATACGTCCCTTTTTAACTTATTTTATCTATCTTTCAATGCTTTAGTTCCATTTTTTTAGTTGAGGAAATGTTTATGAGTTGAGCAAGGAGTTTGTTCGAATATGGGGCATGAATTTAAACTTGGTTGCATTGTGTTGGGCAATGACGGGCGACTGAGTATACTTTGAGCCAAGTGTGCTCTTTTGCTTGTACACTCAAGTAATAATAATATGTATTTTATTCTTTGTCGAGTAAAATGCCCAAATAGTTCTCTGGTTATTTACATGGGGTCATTTTAGTTCCAGATTCTACTAAGGTGCTAGTTTATTATTCGAACTCTTTTAATAAGGGTTGAAATAGTTATCCATGGAAACTATTTCAACTCATATTAAAAAATTCTATGGACTAAATTGACACTTTAGTAGACTCAATGATTAAATAAATTCTGATAAAGAGTGAGGTGATCATTTTAGCACTTTTCTCTAGGGGTGTTTAAAATTAACTTGACACGCTAAGTCGAAAAATTCGGATTTGGATTCAGATTCACCCGATTAATTTTTGGGTTAAATTTGGGTCAAAATTTTTGACATGATTAATTTTTTTTGGATTGGGTTTTGGTTGACTCGCCAATCCAAAATTGACTTGGATTTGACTCACCAATCTAAAATAAACTTGATTGTGACCCAATGTGACTCAAAATTGACATGCATTTAATCCAAATAACTTTATGTATATATTAAACATGTTATGTGGGTCGGGTTAGGGTAATTCAGATTGAAGATAGGTTGGGTCGGGTAGACTTTCTTACTTGTTTGATACTTGGGTCGGGTTTAGGTAAAACAATTTCGGGTTCGAGTCAATTTCGGATTAGACCTGAATTCGACCAACAAACCCAATTTTACACATCTTATTTTCTTATTCTTGGTTATATTATTTATAGTTAGCCTACATAGCTACTCGAGATGTTTCACCATGTTTTTGGTTTTGATCACTCCTCAAGATAAGGCAAATGTTTTCACTTACATTAGGAGTTGCAAATTCCAAGTCAAGCGTTGCCTAACTAGTGAATTGGCATAATTTTTTCCAGCATGTCAATAGGATTGTGCTGTTTGAATATCGCCTGAATAGAAATCTCACCGGCTAACATTTGCTGATGAAGTTGTATTCTTTTTTAACATGTTTAACTCTTTTAGGAAATAATTGATCTCATGTTATGTGCATGACACTCTTATCACATGATACCACTGAATTATCTTTGTTTCAAATACAAGTCTTTAACCAAACTTGTATGCTAAATAGTTTCTTTCATAGCTTTATTAAGTGCTATATACTCTATTTATATATTATACGAAGCAGGTGATGCTTTCTAAATGATAATGTGTGAATCCAAGTTTTAGCAAGTACAAACATCAAAGGAAAAAATATAGTAAAACTGTGAGCTCTAGCGTGCAAGCAATATAATTCAATAAAAGCACACCAAAATAATATACAAAGAAAGTCTGATATGGCCAAACACTGTGATACACCCCATAATAAAAAGAAAACGAACAACCGAGCTCTACCCGTGCTTCAATTTATCTTCTTCAATTCACTAGGTTTGAGTATGTTTAGGCGCTCGAGGCGTCACAAGGCGTTACGGGGCTATGCAGTCCATCCTCATTCTTCCTATTCCCGGAGACCTTATTCTTAGTTTCTAGTTTGATTAGATTCAAATGAAAAAAAATCTAACTAAACTTGTAAGTCAGAGATTATCATGGCACCATGACACAACACAGATAAATATAAAGAACACTTGGCTTCGCACTGGCAGGTGCCAAGTCACATGTCTTACTAGGTCATGCTTAAGAGCATAAGCACAATTCCATAGCATTTGCAAGCAAATTTGTTTGGTTTAACATATTTAAGCATGACCACCTGCAGAAAATTGATTTAGAATTACTGAAAATTTATCATGCATATTTGGGAGCATGTGAAAGTTGCACTGATGTCTACTTAAATGAGAATCCAAGCTAATCATTAGGAGCAATGATCACTAGCAAGACAGATCTTCTTGATATGAATAAAGGTGGCATATACTTGTTGGTTTTTTTTCACAAGTTCTTTTGCCTTTTATGTGGTCAAATGGAGCCGGACAAGCTGCGGACTTCTAAATTTTGGGATTAAATTGTAGTTCATAAGTGCGTTTTGAAATATTGTTTTTTTGTTGCTGCTGTCGATGTTAATAGGATGATTAAATAAGATGACCTTTTTTCTCTCTAAGCCCATTGGCATGATTGTTTAAAATAACATAAATACATCAAAGGTTCTCTACTGGTTTTAGCTCAAGAAGATACTGTGTTATGTTTCTACGTTTGCGACAACGATTAATACTCACATCTGACATTTTATATTCGTGGATGCTTTAGTTTTTTGCATTTAGTTTGTTTTGCAAAACTACTTGGAAGAGGTTTGTAAGTATGCTTGATTATCTTTTATGCAGCTTTTTTAATGAACAATTTTTTTTGTAATGGCCTTCAAATGTTTAAATAAACTATTTCTAATGCTCCATCTCTACATGTTATGATTTCATATATGACATGGATCCCAATCAAGGCTTCAAAATTGCTTTATTTTTATTCTCTTTTAATTTGTTCAAAGCCGTGTTGTGATAATACTCTGTCATGCAATGAGTTCTTCAGACCCCGAGGGTAAATACGAAGCCTTGGAGAAATATGGTAAGGATTTGACAGCCATGGCACGCGAAGGGAAGCTTGATCCAGTTATTGGGAGGGATGATGAGATAAGGAGATGCATACAGATATTGTCTAGAAGGACTAAGAACAATCCTGTATTAATCGGCGAACCTGGTGTAGGAGCCACCCCTGCCATATCTGAAGGGTAAGAATAAGATTTTGAATTCTCGTGTTTTCGGATTTTGATTTATGCATGAAGAAATGAAGGTTCTATAATTTGGCGTGAAATCTTTTTCTCCTTACCATGCAACAGGCTTGCCCAGAGAATAGTTGAAGGAGACGTACCCCAAGCTTTGATGAACCGCAGGGTGAGTACTTGTATATTTAAGTGTTTTTTTTTTTTTTGAATTTTTACTATTTTTGCTTCACTAATAATTTAAGCTTAAATAAAAAACAAACCTTGACATGCTTATTATTAATTATATGCTTATCGTATAAGTAATGAGCACAGAAAATTTGCATTAACAAAATTGTAGATTAAATAAAACTTAAATTAAACCTTTTCAGGAGTCCAGCAATAATCAACCTTTTGATAATTATCGCATTTTACCAAAGCAAAATATTTTATGATAAAGTGGACTGCAGTGAACAATCAGGAGAAACTGCACGGAATTCTTCTCTCTTGTTATGTCTGAATCTTTTCAATATTTTGCAGTTGATATCTCTTGATATGGGTGCTCTAATAGCTGGGGCAAAGTTCCGAGGTGAGTTTGAAGATAGACTGAAAGCTGTCTTGAAGGAAGTGACGGACTCAGATGGACAAACAATCCTTTTCATTGATGAGATCCATACTGTTGTTGGAGCAGGTACTTTATACACCATGTTATTTTGAATCTCAAAGCTCGAGTAGTATTCACATGCACAGTACTTTCTTCAACATAGAAGTCCAGTTTAGTAGTCTAAACAGTACTTGTAAAGTTCTTTCCAGTCACCTTCCATAGATAACTAAATATGGATGTTAATGGGAAGCACCGTCTTTTAGAACTTGTGTCTATGCAATTAGAAAAATATTTCTTTCACTGAACTATTTGGTATCTTTGCAATTCTATGATTACAGCCTTGGCACTCATTTTCGGCATTTTGATTTGCATTTGCATCTTATGTCCAGGTGCCACAAATGGCGCCATGGATGCTGGAAACCTATTGAAGCCAATGTTAGGCCGTGGCGAGTTGCGTTGTATTGGTGCAACTACCCTTGATGAATACCGCAAATATATTGAGAAGGACCCAGCTTTGGAACGCCGCTTCCAACAAGTTTATGTTGATCAGCCTACGGTTGAAGACACGATCTCCATACTCCGTGGACTGCGCGAAAGGTATGAGCTCCATCATGGAGTTCGCATCAATGATAGTGCACTGGTGGATGCTGCCATTCTTTCAGATCGTTATATCAGTGGTCGGTTCTTGCCTGATAAAGGTAGAACATCATCAAAATTTTAAAGATGTCTTTCCTATTTGATTCCAGTTTTCTTAATTTGATTGTCATGCAGCTATTGATTTTCATGCAGCTATTGATTTAGTTGATGAGGCAGCTGCCAAGTTAAAAATGGAAATCACATCCAAGCCAACTGCTTTGGATGAGATCAATCGTTCAGTAATTAAATTAGAGATGGAGCGTCTCTCTCTAACTAATGATACAGACAAAGCTTCAAAAGAGAGACTGGCTCGTCTTGATGCTGAGCTTTCGCTCTTGAAAAAGAGGCAGGCTGAGCTTACCGAACAGTGGGAGCACGAGAAATCAGTGATGACACGTATTCAATCCATCAAGGAAGAGGCGAGTATAATTTCATAAACACATATGGTTGTATTTGGTATTCCTATTCTTTTGGTGTAAAGTGGCAAAATAGTCTCCTAATTTTTTACCTTATTTTAATCCCACAATCCATAATATGGGGGCTAAAACAGTCCCCACGGAGAACTCTCCCCTCCCCCCTTGCCGCCCTATAAAGAGTCGAGGGACCGTTTAATATTTTTCTCCTATTTTTTTAATTTATCTTGTTACCTCTTTGTTTGCAGATCGATAGGGTGAACATAGAAATTCAAGAGGCAGAGCGCGACAATGACTAAAATCGTGCAGCCGAATTGAAATATGGAAGCCTGAATAGTTTGCAGCGTCAACTTCAGGAAACTGAAAAGGAATTAAATGAATATCAGAGTTCAGGGAAATCAATGCTCAGGGAAGAGGTTACTGGCAACGACATCGCGGAAATAGTCCGTAAATGGACAGGCATTCCGGTTTCCAAATTGCAGCAGTCCGAAAGAGAAAAGCTCCTTCATTTGGAGGAAGAACTACACAAACGTGTTGTCGGTCAAGATCCCGCTGTTCAAGCGGTTGCAGAAGCTATTCAAAGATCGAGAGCTGGTCTTTCTGATCCTCACCGTCCAATTGCGAGCTTCATGTTCATGGGCCCCACCGGAGTCGGGAAGACAGAACTTGCTAAAGCTCTCGCTTCGTACATGTTCAACACTGAAGAAGCTCTCGTGAGAATCGACATGAGTGAGTACATGGAAAAGCATGCAGTTTCTCGTTTGATTGGAGCGCCGCCGGGCTATGTTGGATACGAAGAAGGCGGGCAGCTGATGGAAACTGTTAGAAGGAGGCCTTATGCCGTCATATTGTTCGATGAGATTGAGAAGGCCCATTTTGATGTGTTCAATGTCTTTCTTCAGATACTCGACGATGGTAGGGTGACTGATTCACAGGGACGAAGAGTGAGCTTCACAAATACGGTGATTATAATGACGTCAAATGTGGGCTCACAATACATATTAAATGTGAATGACGAAATAGGTTCAGGTGTTTCTGCTTACGAGTCTATTAAGCAGAGAGTCATGGAGGCAGCCCGTGCCATTTTTCGTCCGGAGTTCATGAATCGTGTTGATGAGTATATTGTTTTCCAGCCTTTGGATCAACAACAAATTAATAGCATTGTGAGGTTGCAGGTGCAGATTTTTTAACTTCCGTTCATGTTTTCTTTATGGAGACATTTATATACGTACCACACAATTCTTATGTATTTACATATCTAACACCTAAGCATTCATATTTACATGCATATCACCCAAATCTTTAAGATCACTTCAAAAATAACCCCATCATTTTATTTTTTAAAATGAAATACACTTTTTCATGCATAAGTTTATGACACTATAAGTGTAAATATCAAACTATGGGTGTTAGATTTGTAAATACATAAGAATTTTTCAGTATGTATGTAATATCCCCTTTCTTTTATTTGTCGCTTATACCCTTATGGTCTAGATGATGCCTCTTGTATGCTTGGCTGAAAGTTGACAGGCTGCTTTGGACTTGAAACTCAGAAGAGCTTGTTATCATATTCTGTAAAAAGATTGTTTTTTCGGTTTATTTGCAGTTGGAACGAGTCCAGAGTCGACTGGCTGATCGAAAAATCAAGATTCAAGTCACCGATGCAGCGGTTATTCTGCTAGGTAGGCTCGGATATGACCCTAATTATGGTGCCAGGCCAGTGAAGCGTGTGATCCAGCAGAATGTGGAGAATGAACTGGCTAAGGGTATCCTCAGAGGAGACTTCAGAGATGAAGAAATTATAGAAGTTGACACAGAGCTCACTGCCTTCTCTAATGGCCAACTTCCCCAGCAAAAGCTGGTTTTCAGATGCCTGGAAGCAGGTTCTTCGTCAGATAAGCAACAATCGACTGAGACCCAAGAGGCTGTATTACCAAGTAGATAATTTTTTTTTTTTTTGGGGAGTTCTGCTGTTGCCTGCAGGTACTGTATTTTGTAAGAATAATTCAGTTGAAACATAGTTTGTATTATGATCTTCAAATACAATATTATTTAAGCTCAAGTTTCTGAAACTTGGTTTTGATTTTGATTTCTTTTATGTAGAAGTTTTCGGTTTATTTGATTTAATGGGATCTAGTGAGAGAATTTTAATGAAATGTTGGTTGTTATTTTAGAAATTAATTGATTTTTTTTTTTGTTAAAAATGTATGAATTTGATTTGAAATTTTATCTGAACTATTCATTTTATGTTAGGTTTGATTTCACTTTTGTTTGGTAATGTTCTAATTTGATTTTGATAGTTGCATTAACAAAATTGATTTATTTTTTTTATTAAACTTGATTAATTTTTTTTTACCATATTTGATTAAATAAAACTTAAATTAAATAAATTAAATTATATTAGGATTTGATTTTACTTATGAAGACCATAAAGTTTGATTTGGGGACGTGCCAATAATTAATTTGGATAAATCGAAGACTGACAGACATTAAATATATATATATATATATATATATATATATATAAAGTAGTATTTTATTTTTTTGCTTTTATGGATGGGGATCCTCCATAGACGGGGATCCTCCCCCCCTCCAATTTTTGTACATTTTCTTTAAAAAAAAAGATATAGTATTTAAAAAAAATCTAATTGACTACAAGGCTACAAAGTTTTATAATCAATTAAAATATTGATCAAGAGAATAAAAATTATTAAATTAGATTCAAATAATGTTTAATATAACTAATAATTTTTAAATCTTGCTTAAACCCCTATTGTCTTATGGCTAAATAATTAGGATTGTTAAAAGAACTTTTTGTTCGTGAACAGCTTGTGTTCGGCTCGTTAAGCAAACGAGTCGAACACGAATGCACTTTTTGAGCTTGAAATATAAACGACCCCTAAACCGATATGTAATTTGATTTTTTATCGAAAAAATTAAAATTTAAAGATCTATTTGAAAATTAAAATTTTGTTCCTCATTTTTATTTCCTTAAAGTTTCGTTAAAATTAAAAAAATTTAAAATAAATTAAAATAAATATGCATACAATTTATTTCTTTTCAAATGAATTTAATTTTTAATCATAATATTATTTGATTTTTCATTTTTTTTTTGGATTTTATGAATATTAAAATCGGTTATAAAATATAAAATTTTTCTTAAAACCGAATTTTTAGTTTAAAATAGAATCGAATCAACTAATTAACTTCATTCAATTAGTTCTAAAATAAAATATTATTTGAAAATCAGATATATTTATATATTTCATATTTCAAATCAAAATGAATGCTACAATGCTGGGATTTTAAGTCTCATTTTTTTTTCTTTTCATATTCTCCTCCTTAATTGATCGTTGATAACACTACCCAAAAGTTTGGAGTTCTTTGAGGGTGGATGACAAGGGTTGAAGGTGGGAAAGCTTGGCATGACTTATGTTTGAAGTCTCGGGTTTGTTTATAGTGCTTGAAATGGGGAGAAAAGTGTGGTGCCTAATGTTTCATTACCATCTCTCTCATGTGCTTGTCACTTTGGAGGTCAAACCAAGTTGCCACTGTCATCATCCTAGTTCATGCTGATTTAGTCCAGTTGGATTTAACTTGTTGGTTGGCTCGACAAACTATCTATCCTGATTGAAGATACAATCACACTTTTATTCTTGTTTATTGCTTATAGGTGAAGTCTACTCAGAATCAATGATTTCTCTAAAAGATTTTTGTCGATTGTATTTAACTTGGAATCAGCTAAGCTTGGTGACCAATCTGGTTGGACTTAGGTCCTATCCACTAAAGGTCTAATCCCCCTAATTAAAACAATCTTGAGCCTCAACAACCTACCCAAAATTGTGTTCTTTTCACATCCTCTTTAGGCATCACCTAGCCGTCCTTTTTCAGCACTTTCTTGTGCCAATTAACACATGATTTTTTTTTTAATTACTATTTGCTCTCTTTTATGTACTTTGCTAGTTGTTGCTCAATCCATGCCAGACATCTACTTTTTATGCCATCTTATGGACTTGCCATGCAACTTCCACAAACAAATTTATTTTTAGCCATTTTTGGCTAGTTTGATCATTTGGGGATATTAAATTTATAGCAGCAATCCCTAGAAATTATTATTCATTATTAGCTTTTATTCACTTAACATATATTTACTATTTATTTATTATGTTTTATTTCTTTACTTTATTATGTCTATTTTAATTAAGTTTAGATACTCTCCTTCTATCAATAAAATTATCCTGCTCTATTCTTAATTCTCATATGAAAGCCAATAATCTAGCCTCAGCGGCCGGCTCTTCCTGTAGGTTTCCTTGCATGGTCTATTTCTGATCTTTTCCTGCAGTATCTCCTTCTCTTACGGTATTGAATTAAAAGAAAAAATATGTTTGTATGGGGAAGGATAAATATTCAATCCTCTTGCTCTTTTACGTATCTCTCTGCCCCTTATTCTGTACAACTCATCTCCAATCAACCTCCCATGCAAAGGAAATCCTTTTGAAGCTCTCAGATCTTCACTCCACAAAGTTTAGACTGGCCTCTCTTTACACCCATAATAACCTTAGGAACTCTGCTTTACCTCTTAAACTCATCCTAAACTACCCACCGCCCCATTTTTATCAACGGGTAATATTTAGTTCACTAGCTTTACTTGACTAGCCTTCATGCTGAACTGGTTACAGTCCCTGTCAATCATGAAGGATGAAAATCAGACAGCTAGATTTAGTGTTTTCTATGATTAGAAACTTTTTTTATTTCCAATATCTTTATTATGATATATCTCACTTTTAGCTGAATATTTCGATTATGAATATGTATTGATTATGAATATGTATTATTAAACTACATAAAATTGATTATATGCACTTTATTTTGTACCTAAAATATATTGTAAGATTGTTATTTAATGGAATAAAATCAAAGGAAAAAAAGATAATAAAACATATTCAGTATTTAACCTATTTTTATAAAATTTTAACGTGATATTAGAGTTAATTTTTTGCACTAACACCGATAGGACCTTTAAGACTCACTTAGCACCCGCCCCCCCCGCGGCGTTTGCGGGGGGGGGGAAGAGAGTAAATATTTCTTCACCTTATTCTGATTCTGGCTCCTCAACTTTATCCAAAACCTTCGACCGTCGGATTGAGAAACAGAATGGATAAAATTTTGGGATTTTTAATCAAAACCTAAGAAAAATTTGGGAACGAGAAACGCAATCGAACAACATAGATCCCGATCTTAACCCTAGCCGCGGCGGCGATCTCTATCGCCCTTATGCCTGGATCTGCTACCCTCCTTGTCCGCTCATTCGCCGCCGACCGCTCGCCCTCGGATTCTCTCCTCGCCTTCGAAACTCTGGATCCCCCCAGGCGAGGCTTTTGTTGTCTTCCCTTCTCCAATACAGGGAAGAGTTTGCCCTCCAGAGAAATAGACAAAACATGGGACGCAGATATATTGAGGTCTTCCAGTCCAAGAAACAGGAATATTACCATGCCATAGCCGACGAGGTTAACAATGGTGGCTCATTTGATGGCGAACATCGGAGCGGCTCGCCAGCACCCCGTTTGAAGAAGACTTATGATGACAAGATGGATTATACTGAGGTTCTCAAGCTTTGCGGGCTTCCCTACTCTGCAACGGAGACGGATATTCTCGACTTCTTTCGAGATTATGAGGTGAAAGAGGGTTTCCCTTCAGCTCGATTAGTCGTCTCTTCTGTGTTGCCCTCATTGAAGCACTGATGCATCAGTTATTTTTTCCTTCGCGTAAGGGTTCGTTTGAGGTTTCGGACAGGAGACAGCGGTTTCGTGCAAGTTTGTGCGGAATAAAAGCCAGCCGGAGGCCATGTACAGGTCAAGGGGTGAGCAGCGGAAGGGTGTCAGACAGTTACGACTTCTAGGTTGCTGGAATCCAGCCCCTATTTTGGCGGGCCTGGTGCTGGGTCATTTTATGCTTCAGCATATGGGAACTATGGTGGTGGCCCCAGCAGAAACAGCACCTACAGCTTCCCCGTGGTTCGTCTGCGTGGCCTTCCTTTCAACTGTAATGAGCTTGAAGTACACAAATAAAGAGTCCAGAGACCATTTAATATTTTTTTCTCCTGTTTTTTTAATCTATTTTGTTACCTCTTTGTTTGCAGATCGATAGGGTGAACATAGAAATTCAAGAGGCAGAGCGCGACAATGACTAAAATCGTGCAGCCGAATTGAAATATGGAAACCTGAATAGTTTGCAGCGTCAACTTCAGGAGACTGAAAAGGAATTAAATGAATATCAGAGTTCAGGGAAATCAATGCTCAGGGAAGAGGTTACTGGCAACGACATCGCTGAAATAGTCAGCAAATGGACAGGCATTCCGGTTTCCAAATTGCAACAGTCCGAAAGAGAAAAGCTCATTTATTTGGAGGAAGAACACAAATACAGTGATTATTATGACGTCGATTGTGGGCTTACAATACATATTAAATGTGAATGACGAAATGGGTTCGGGTGTTTCTGCTTATGGTCCATCAAGCAGAGATTCATGGAGGCAGCCCCGTGCCATTTTTCGTCCGGAGTTCATGAATCGTGTTGATGAGTATATTGTTTTCCATGCTTTGGTTCGACAGCAAATTAACAGCATTGTGAGGTTGCAGGTGCAGCTTTTTTAACTTCTTTTAAGTTTTCTTTATGGGGCATGTATATACGTGCCGCACAATTCTTACCTATCTACATATCTAACACCTAAACATTCATATTTACATGCATATAACTCAAATTTTTAACATCATTTCAAAAATACCCCCATCACTTTATTTTTAAAAATGAAATACAAGTTCTTACGTACAAGTTTATGACTCTGATGGATCCTTTGAATGCAACTAGGCATGATTGGTCGCCGAAAAGTGCTCACAGACCTACGGTGTTGACTATGAGGAGACAATTGATTCAGTGGCTAAGTTAACACTATTTGGGTCCTGTTGTCCATTGCGATGAATTTGGATTGTTCTTTATTCCGACTAAATGTTAAGAATGCGTTCTTGAATGAAGAGCTTACAAAAGAGGTATACGTGTCTCTTCTTCCTGGATTTAACTCTACTGGCCCGAGAGGGCAAGTATACATGTCTCTTCTTCCTGGATCGAGATCAATGTTTATGCAAAAGATGAGATAAGGAGGTGAAGTTCGAGTTTATTTTTATTAACTTTATTAAAGGTAATTTTTATTTATTAGTATTTAGTTATGATGAAAATGTAAAATATGATTTTTAGGCAAAACAACAAGTAAAAGAATTTGGAAGGGATCATCTCATAAGGTGAAATCAAGGTGAGTACTTTTATTTCTATATTATAATAATAATACTGTCTTTCATCTTAATCACTCGCACTAGAATGATATTACTTAAGATATCTTGGTATTACAAGTAGGATATGGTTATTCTGTCTCATTATTCAAATTGATCATCGAGAAACGACTGTTAAAGATTTGCATAGTTATATTTATTTATTATATATTCATAATAGAGCAGAAAGACGTCAAATGATAAATAAAATGGTAATGACATGATCTAGGAGCAAATTGCTAGGCTTCATAAGCTACTTGCGCCACACCTCCTTCGACGTAGCTTCTTTATCTTGTTATGCTATTTTCTTTGTTTCATTTCATTTGTTGATGTCCCTTGAAATTATAATTTATACTTGATAGCTTGATTGCCATGTTTTTAAATTAGCATATATATATATATATATGAAAATGACAATATGCATAATAAATATTGTGAAATATGTTGATCAATCGTATTCATAAATATAAATTATCAAATATTCTTATACTGACTTACTAAAAGTTTAACTGGCACGCATATTATTTCCTTTTCATTGTGTTATTATATTTTAGAAGTATTAAGTATTCGCTAGCTATTGTAGCTCATTTTATTTTAATTAACCATTAAAGTTTAATCATTTAATAAAAAAAATGAGTAATATAAAAGGGAATATCTACAAAAGATGTGGTTAACATGACGTAAGGTAAATTTTTAATTGCTTTAAATAAATTATTTTCATATCAACTTTTAATTTATTATGAATTATAAAAAGTTAGTGATAGAAAATTTTAATTTCACCGTCTCATCGTATGTTTCCGTATTATTTAATTCCAAGCTAAAGTCAGATCGCGACAATTTGATGTGAAGGAAAATGTATATTTCTGCTGCGCAAAGCAATTACCTCAATAAAGGTTAAAAAACTATGTGCCTTGCAATCTCAACATTCATCTGACTCTTTTAGACTCATGAAAATGACTTTCATCATCCCTCAAAGTCGATGATAACTTTATAATTCACAGCCACCTGGGGATGCTTATACAAAATATATCAAGCTAGCATAGTTGGTGACTCTATCAAACTTTCAACTGAAAGTTTGATTCAACCCTATGCATTAGAAGAATTTTTTTTTTAATTTTTTTTTTTTTTTTTTTAACTCTACAAGCACAATATGGATATCACTCATTGCTTCTTCTCTTGTCTCGACTACCTTTATTCCTTAAAAGGAAAATTTGTGAATGTGGTTTTTAAATAAGAGGTTGAGTTTTTGGAGAGATGTTTATATCAAAGGGATATTAGAAGTAGCATTTATTCAAGATAAATATATTGAAAATAAATTAAGGTAATTTATTGATCAAGTTAATTTTGATGACTGGGAAGCAAAAAGAGTTGATCAATTGAAACTTGAATAGAAATATTTCAAAGAATTTTTTTTGTGAATGGGTTAGCATCTCATGTAATACTCAGCGGTACTAATGGAAAACCAGGATTCATAAAGTTTACTCCAAATAGTTGGGATTAGATTAATGGTGCTAATAATGCTACTTTTACCCTTCTAGGCAATGAATACTAAATTTGTTCTTCCATGTGTTTGTGAATATTTGGGCAATGTTTTTTGCATAAACCAACTTTGATTAGATTTGAATGCGCTACCAACTTATTTGTGTACTCCAACAACTCTTGTTTTGTATGTGTATCAATCTTATATTTTGTGAAAAGTTTTTATCATGTGCTGATCTCTTATTTTAAAAATGCTCTTGCTGCTTTATTTAAGTTGCTTGAGGTTGAAATTATACTTTCCTTACATTTCTTTTTCTAGTTGGGTGGTTGGGGG